GAGAGACACCTAAAAAACTCAAGAACGTCTGTCATGGTTGATTCCATCGTTCATAATCATATAATAAATATTGTTCTACCTCAACTGATATTTTTTTATTTTTCTGCACGAACAGGTGCCATGACAGATTCCCCAATAGGAAGTGAGTTGTCAAAGGATGATGGGGAAGGTGAGATCATTGTGGCTATGAATGGTGAAATCGACTTCTTTTCAGTGACAAGTTTGTCCAACGAATTTCAGTTCCTAAATTCCTTACGATCGAACTCTTTCACATCTACTTTTTGCTTTTTCCATCATGGAGATAAAAAGAAAACAGTACGGCTGGGACACTGAATTATGATGAGGTGCCATGCTCTACAGACCGAGGCAAAGCTTGGATGTTCCATTGACATAAGACGATCTTGCCCCGCAGCGGACCCGCAGTCGATTACAGTTGAGGTCATTGACAGTAAAGATGACCTTTATCTCACGCAGCCTATGCATGCAAGTGCTGGTCCCTTCTTCCTATCCACAGACGCTCATCATCTCCAACTCGCTGGAGAAACAGCGACGTTTTGCTATTTTCCACACATTTAACGTGTTAGTTAAACACGAATACACATTTGAGGAGTTATAAACTCTTGAGGTGATCGAGTGTAGGATTTAAAAGGATACACGAGGGTGTACGAATTCACATTGTATGACTCAGGTCGAGGTGAACAAGATGGATGGTCGCCTATATAGCCTCCGCATATTTTGTGAGAAGCTGCCTGGAGTGTTCATTAAGCTGATGCAGGCCCTGAACGTGCTTGGCCTCATCATTGTCCACGCTAATATCACCTCTTACCATGGCTTGATCCTCAACGACTTCAATGCCGAGGTAATTGCAACTTCTTTAGACTTGAGGTCGCGCACAAAGTAAACAAAGTGAAATGCAGGATATTTTATGTTTCAGTCTCAATGTGTGAATCACTCCCAACTCAAAAGTACTTAGAATTTCACAGTTTATCACTGAGTAGCGTTTGTTGACGTCTAGTACTTGATGTTCTTGACACATGGCGTAGGTAAGAGACAAGAAGGTGGTGGGCGTTGATACATTATTAGGATTGGCAAGTTTGCCTCCAATTCATTGATCACTACCTCTTGCTCCTTCGGATGGCCCCAGCCTGCAACCATCCTCCACAGACGAAAACCAAGGACCGGATACGGTGACCGACTCAGAGCCACTCACTTCGAGTTCACGACTTATTTCTTATCATTACCAGAAGTGAGGATTACATCAGGCTCTGAAAAACATGTGATTCCCTTCGATGGGGCTATCTTCACTCGAAATAAGCAGTAAAGGACAATAAAGCAGCATGATAAATGCTAAATAGAGGATAACATAGATCCTCGAATATGCTTTTTTGCAAGCAGAGGTCCCCCAATTTCTTGTAAGTCACTGCAGCAATCTCTTGTGCCCGCCTTATTGCCTATGTATATATATATATATATGTATATATATATGTATATATATAACTAAAGTGTCAAGAGAGTTATTATTTCAAGTATCAAGAGAGTTAATACTCTACAAATAGGTATAAATAATGCGCTGTCCTTTGTCAATTGCGTCTGGTACATTTAATGCTTATGTGGCTTGGATTAGTGACAATAGGGAATTCCCTTACTCAGAAAGATTTTGGAGCTGGTTTTGATTGGTCACCTAATTGCCGAAGAGACTCTCACAAGACATGCCAACACCTCACATCCTCCTCCTGAACGCATCACACCACTACATACTCGCACGACATAAAGCTTCTCGAATTAACGACGTCGCCGTTTCTCGGAGTTGGGTTACCGTCAGGTTTGCTTACCCAGGCAGACAGGAGAATGGATCCGGAGGTTCTAGGGATTGACTTCACAGGCTGTGTGGACCCTGATTGATTCACATTCTTGGCATTTTCAAAGGAATGGAGGATGATAGGATGGTTTAAATGATTGTTCATCCTGCCGCTATGCGACGTCCTACTACCCTCGTTAGGTTACTGTATCGTCGACGTCGCCGTCGTCGTCGTCAACTCGGCCGACGAAGTTTTGTCGACAAAGCTTTTCTGTTCCATAGGTGGCGCTTTTGCCGCTATTTTTGGAGTGTTCTGTGAGATACCCAGCAGTGACATCTTGGTGTTGTGGAGGTGCGAGCCGTGAGTGTGCATTGGCGTATAGGGCATTTTTTGGTGCTGCAATGAGTGCCGAGTCGAGTGTTTACGAGTTGTGGGCTTATTGAGTTGCTAGTGACGCGTCCGAGGTATGCGTTTAGGGTGTTTTTCTCTTCACTTGTGACGCTGTTGATGTCTTTCTAGGAGGTCTGAGGGGAGCTCGCGCGATCTAGATGGTGGCCTTTGTAGTGTGACATGGACGTGTTCATGAGCAGCAATAAGTGCACTGGGTTGGATAATCGCAAGCTGAAAGTAATGTTTTAGGAATTAGACCTCTTCTTCTTCGTTTTTTTTCTTTTTTCCCGTTTTTAACACAATTGGTGTTGAGGTGGAGGTTTTCGTCTATCTACGTTGTGAGCTGGAGAGTGTAGGTTATGTAATACGCTTGGCTCTTGTCGAGTTTGTTGAGTGAGAAACGGTCTGAAGGCCTGTTTGTTAGGCTCATTGCATAGGAACACTCTCAGCGATGTCGCCCTCAGCTAATGGGCTGAAGCTTGGTGCTCAAAATAAAGTTTACATAGTTCAAAGGCGTGCCGAGTTTAGAGGTCTGAACTCGCGAATAGACCCCAACACCGACCAACAACCTTACGAGCCCGAGATTTCGTATTTGGACTTCGCTTATCTTGATAACATGCAAGCGCACGCAGTAGCTATCCGCGAGCAGATTCTCGAACTTGACGAGAGTGGTACTCACAATGGACGAAAGGTTGCTGCGCAGACAGTCCTGTCGTTGAAGCAGCGGTTGAAAGTCATTCACAAAGAGTTGGATGCTGCGCCCGGGGCCCACGAGGATCCTGAAGCGTCTGTGGTGAAATTTGAGGTCTTGGAGTTTCCTGTAGCGCCCTTGCAGCCATTCAACGAGGCCCAATTCTTGAAAGACCTAGACAACCAATCTGACTCGGAAGACATTGAGGACGAAGAGGGCGATGAAGAAGAGGCTGACGACGAAGAAGGCGACGAAGAAGCCGATGAGGGTGAAGAAGGCGTGGATGAAATAGAAGGGGAGGAAGAAGAGGATGAGGAGGGAGGTGAAGATGATCTCGAAGAGTTGGACGATGACGATGAAGGCGAGGAAGTAGATGATGATGAAGACGACGATTCCGACACCTCCCCACGGGCCAAGAAGCAAAGAACGTAAACCTCCTCTTCTTACCTTCATTCTCATGAAAATACCTCATGAAATTTTGAACCCTGGTGGGTTTCCCACAACCTTAGGCGCCCAGCTCTGATAATGGAGCACTGCCATCCTAAGATGATCGTCCGCACAGTTACGCATGCGTAGGAATCACTCGCCCGGAGGGATTCTTATCCGGCCCTCACAGAGATGTTCATTGTATGAAGAATATGTAGAGATCTCTCTAGAGAAGAAAAGACATCAGCAGTGGCTTGGTGTAAAGAGAAGTACTAGATCATGCGTCCAGTTCACACGACCATGTCCAGGGCAGACATAGGCTGGGCCGTGCCTGGCAGCTTATGAACTTTATCCAAAGTGCAAAGAAGACAGTTTATGTTAACCTCCCTGTACAAGATGATCATCACCTCTGCACCAGTTCCTAAATATGATATTTGCAACTATGGGATCTTTCTAGATAGTGGGTGCGATGTTCTTGCATTTGTCATGGCTTTTGTTATGTATATTCGTTTTGTAAGATAAGTTCTATCCCATGGGGAAACTCAGATGTTTGAAAGTCGCATTATTTGCAGTAGCACTAAAAGCAGTTTATCTTATGTCTTCATCCATTGTCTCCGTTGTCCAAACTCCGAGACTTCTGGAAATCTGTCTGAAGCTTTTGGTACTCTTCGAGAGAATTTATTTCTTATTTGTCTCGACACAGAAGGTGACAAAAGTTTATTAACGCCCTGCTGTCGCTCGACATGCACGACAACTCTCCGCTCATCGCTTTGGAGCTGCGGTGCTTTTGGGAACATTGAAACACACTCAGTGTGAGGGGAAAAAGAGAATATGGGTGTCCTTCAGAACCCCATCAGGACCTTTTGCCGGTAATGGCTAAGATGTCACTACCTTCTCATACCCAATTCTTGCTTCAATCAAGAATCAGGTTCAGGGAATTGCACCAAGCAAGGGTAACAGGTTGGGATTTTCCTTAACATGTGTTTTCTCATTTTCTGTGCCTGCATCATGTATAAAGTATGATTTTCAAAAGCAACGTTTCCAAGGAGGTGAGTTGCATGTGAACTCTTCTACGCAACGCCCATATGCTTGATTAATTCTATGAAGTGTTATCAGAAAAGAATCTAACTGAGTAGACTACCATCTCCAGAAAATCTTAGTCTGCAAACTTGCAAGCTTAAGATGGAAATACTCAACAAGCAAAATAAGTGCTATGTATAGTCTCATGACTGATAAGAGTGCAAAAGTTCCAGACTTAGACTTACGTAAAATATGAACATATTATACCTCTCAAGTTGTTACTAAATGCCAAAAATACCAGGCACTCGGGACACAAAATCCAGGAAACAACCGAAGTTTTTAGAGGGGATGCAGTCCGCTTCAAGCCATGTCTTAGTGCTATTGCCAGGCAGTTACTAGATGATGACGTGTACAGAAACTTCCACTTCTGATGGATGAACCCCCCATGGGAAGTGGAGGTAGCTCTCAGAAGCAACATATCAGACAAAAATCAGGGAACAACCTTGGAAAGCTCAAAGCGTTGGTAATGATAATTTTGGAATCCCTGAATGTTTGAACACATCAATCACAAACATTCCAATTCTATTTCTATTACCCTGGTGTAATTAGGATAATATATTCTAGATATCTAAAAACACTTATCAGAAGTTGGGGTTGAAAGAGGTAGAGGGCAGTTGACGACAGCAGAATCTTCATGCTACAGAAGAATTGATTTAGAGAATACAAAAATCAGACGAGTAATTGACCACAAAAATGGTGGTTTACAGTTGTAAATCTTCGAAAGAAAACTTTCTCTAAACGAAATGAAACAAGAATTGTTATACGACGTGTTGCAAAAACACTGAAAGAGGGAAATTTTAGAGGTGGCTTGGCCGTCGTTTTCCACCATCAGTCCTTGATTTTTTCAATACAGTTACAGCCCCCACCTTGGTGTTCGGTTGTAATGCACTTCGTCTGCTACTTCCAGGAGAGACAGTCGGTACCCGTGACCTTGGGGCTACTGGCAGGGGAGCCCTGGTATTCCAAGACGGGCCAACATTAAAACCTCGAGCAGTAGTGTCCCTCGTGTCCTCAGCATTTATCACTAACAGTGAGCTAACCGTCCTACTTCCTGTGTGTTCCCTACCTTTACGTTTCTTCTTGTGTATTACAAGATCCACAGGATGCATGATCCCTTCATCCGACTCCACCTCGTCTTCTATTAACTCTTTATCCTTCACACTACTCCTGACTTTACTCTTCAATTTCGCCTTCTTGTCCTTCGACTTTTCCTGTCCTGCTTTCTTGCTCATCTTGCCCTCCTGTTTCGTAACAGGAGCCTCCTCTAGTGATAAGGCTGCATGTCGAACCAATGATATCCTTGTGGAACTCCGAGGGTTAGGAGTCTCAACGTGTGCTGGTTCAGCAATAACAGAGGCAGGAGGTCTTCGAACACCTCGTGGTCCAGTTACTACGGGGGCATTTATTTTACTTCGAGGACCACTTACAACGGAAGCCTGTGGTATACTCCGTAATCCAATTACTGGAGGAGCCTGTGAGGGTTGTACAGGTGCATAACTTCTTACTCGTGCAGAAGAGAAGTCAACCTCGGGAAACATAAGGGACATCCGCGATTCAAATAGGGCTTGTAAGCGACGAGCATCAGTTTGAACCTGAGAGCAAATCCATAATTCTTGTAAGCTGCAGTAAAATAGAAATGAACTGTTCGCCAAACCTACTAGTGCGATTCGTTTTATAATTAGTCCCTTTAAATTACAATCACGCAACGAGTTGAGTTAGAAGAGGCAAATACCTCCGCAGAAGTGCTATAATAGCGAGCAGAGTTATCAATCATAAGGTGAACATCTGATGCGAACTCCAGAACACTTGGGTACTCCATACGATCCAATTTCTCCTCAATTGAATGCGAATTAATCGGCCGGGCTATAACCTTGTAATACTCCGGTAATTCGCTGCGTTTTGGCAGCTCCAAGAAAAGTGCAGCTATCTGCCTGCCATCTTTGTTCACTGCTCCATGCAACTTGCTGAGGACAGACTTGCACTGCACACGTACCAAGACTAGTTAAGAGCATGAAACCAGAAACTCTAAAGAAACACCGCCTCTAGAAAAGAAAGTACAAACGAACTTAAAAATGAGAATAAAATCAAAGTTTAATCTACTTCGAATGTGAATGTGTACATCGCATACCTTCTTTTGTTGTCCCTCAGGAAGGCGACCTTTGTCACCACTATAGCTACCCAGCAAACCTGCTTGACTTCTGGCAGTCCAATTGTCTCTTCCCAAATCAGGTTCAGCAACAGGCTCCTGCAACCCATTACCTCGGCTGTGCTTGAACACAATGCGAGGCCGTGCCGGTGCTTGGGCTTCTAGAACATTAATGCTCCTTTTCTTAGAAGCGCCACCCCAATGGTCTGCCTTATCGTATGATTGAGCAGGTTCAACCGTCCCAAAGTTTGACAATTGCAAGGATTTCTGCTCCACTGTAGTGAAAGAGCGGAAAGGAAATGAAGGGATTCCTCTTTCGTTGAAAGAACCATTACTGATTTCTCTCTCGCCTAACCCATCCACATGAGCAGTACGCCGGTGGCTGCGGCTGCGTTTCCTTTTCTTCTGGGGTTGTATGGTGTAGTCCTCTTCACCCTCAGCAACCTCGACTTCTTCCCTTCCTTCCATCCAGCTTTCTGACCGTTGATCGGAATCAACAGATGCAGCTATTTCCCCTTCCTCAAGTTCATCACCCTGTCAACCCAGAATTCTTAAAACTGTTAAACTAGTACTTGACCCCCGTCATTACTAACATAGAAGTTCTTATAAAAATGCGGTCAGGTTTGAGAGACTGCCTTGATAATTCTTAATCAAGAACTTAATTGCAAAACTAAGACTACTATTTCGCCTCAACAAATATTGATGCGCTAGATGACTGAAACATAATGTTCACTACATATTGCCTACTACTTTACACAAATATGATAAATAGTTATGATGGCATTATACCCTTTGAGGGTTTGGGTGTCATCTGATACTGTGTAGCCTTACAGCCCTATAACATCCAAGAAGACATACCTCTTCTGCTCTACCCGGGCGAGACTCCAATGCTGATAAAGAAGCGAATTTTTTCGATTGGCTCATGGCGGCTCCTCGTTGAGGCTTCGCTGGAGATACCTCGCATTCGTCAAAAGACAATTCTGGAACCAATTCACCCTCTTCTTCCAGATCTTCGTCTGGCTCAATTTCCTCCTCTTCCTCTTCATCGTCATCATCAACTTCCTCAATAACCTGCAGGACACACCCCATGTGAAGATTGGAACTACCACATACCACCGCCTGACCTTGCTAAGTATGGAAATTCTCTAAGATCAACAAGTAGGCAACATGGAGATTTAATACATTGATTACGAAAGAAAAAAAAGAAAAAAAGTATATACTAGAGGCTGTACTAGGCATCTAAATCCATTTCATACGCATACCTCTTCGATAATCTCTTCTTCTTCAAGCTCCTCCCCTTCTTCAGCATCCCTCATATCTGTATGAAAAGAACCACAACTTCAGGAAAAGCAGATCTTTTATTAAAAAAAAAAAGACGCCACAAATCCAAAATCTAACACTCTTCCGACCTATCTAACATAATTCTGACTACTATATATCTAAAAGTGTTTAAAAACCGTACCTTCATCTTGATGATCTCTTTCATCGACACCTCGTTCCACCTCCTCCTCATCATCAGTGTTCTCGGCGGTTAATACCTCATCAATAATTGATTCTCGTTCATCCTCTTCAAACTCTTCAGTCTCCTTTTCAGGGAAAAAATCATCGTCAATTTCCACCTCTCGATAGTTCTTGTACCTGCTGGTACTCTTCGAGCGTTTCTCAAGAGCTTTTGGAGCCACAGGTCCCTTCGTCACCTGATAAGCAACCAGGTCTTCAGCTTCCTGCGTGCCCACTGTTCCCAAGAAACCCTTCTTCATAGCCTCTTTAGAAGTGGATTCAATGGCAGCATTGACTTCTCGGGATCCAATACGCATCCATTTAGGAATTTTATGGTGAGGAAGAAGATCGCCAGCCCACTTCCATTCTTCATCCATCTTGTCAAAAAGTTCCAATTCTTCATCTGTTCTTGCGATCATTCGATTCACTTCTTGTAATGTAGGCACATCGTGAACTGTCTGCTCATACCTTTCTTCATCATGCAATAGAGCTTCCAGTGTGAGTCGTCTCTCTTCTTGAGTGGTCCTCTGGTCGAACCTCCCAGCATTGATGACTTCATCAGCCATGTCAATTTTATGCTGCTGAATATTGTTGCGTACCAAGCTCTCCACAGAACCCACGTATCGATCCTTACCAGCCTGCACCAATAACGAAGAGGCTAAGTACAAACACCGCCATAAATATATCAATGTACAGGTTTAACATCGTAGCGAAGAACCACAAATATAGTTGGTACACAAGGAGAACAAAAGCTTCAAATTATTTACAAAAACTAGATAAACCATAGGGAACGATAGAACCAAGGTTACATCATCAAGTATTAAGTACCATTTCATCATCTTTCTGGTCTAAGGATCCCCCACTCCGAAGCTCATCTTCTTTCTCATAACTTGGGGTATTTTCTACCACAGCTTCCATGTAAAGGACACGGACTTCTCTCTTTTGCCCGATACGATGCGCTCGAGCCACAGCTTGCTCCTCATTTTTTGGATTAGGGTCAGGATCGTACACAATAACTGTGTCAGCTGTCTGCAGATTCAGACCTCTGCCAGCAGCACGAATACTAAGCAAGAATATAAAGCAATCAGAATTTGGCCGATTGAATTCAACTATAGCGGATTCTCGAGCCTCAAGGGTCGTCATCCCATCAATGCGGCGGTAAACGAGCCTTCTCCACTGTAAGTAGTCTTCTAATATATCCAGCAACCTAGTCATGGTGCTGAAGAGCAGAACTCGGTGGCCTGTTTTATGCAGCTTCACCAGGATACGATCCAGAATCCACAATTTCCCACAGGTACGTACTATCATATCACCTTGGCTATGATACCTTGGAGGATAATTTAAATAAGGGTGATTGCAGACTTTCCGTAGTTCCATGCACTTATTCTGCAGTGGAGCATAGGCTCGTGCAAGTCTCTTGCTGTTTCCAGCAATCCTTTGAGCCTCGTCATCAGGATCCAAACGCAGGGTCCCAGTTGCTTTCACCCAATCATAAATTGCAGCCTGGTATGCGGACATTCTGCATTTGAGAACCACAGAAACCTGTAAAACCAGCATCCCATTCGCGTGAGGATCCTCTTCGAAGAATACGTTGTTCACTGATAGCCAATATTATAAATAAATTAAAACCAGACTAAACATGAATGGATGACAAGAACTGACAGTCGGAATTCATTTTTTGCACTATAATTGTTAATAAACAAGGTACCACCTTCGGAGGAAGAGATCCTTCCACATCCTCAACACGACGCCGCAACATGAAAGGCTCAAGAATCTGATGAAGCCTGTGAATAACAATAACCTTCTTCTCAGTCTCCAGCCAATCGTCTTCTTCACTCAGAGTAGCCTCTTTCTGAAAAGGTTTTGAAAACCACTCATGAAATGCCTTGCTGTTATCAAATACTTCTGGGAGTAGTAGATTAAGTAGCGACCACAGCTCGTGCAGATCATTCTGCAGAGCAACAGAGAACGTTAGCACAGTCACAGCAAGTCATACATGACATGCGACTGACAAAAAAAACACATATTTCCACATCATGAAGTAGTCGAGCCTTCTGAAACATAATATACTGTACCTGTAGTGGAGTGCCCGTAAGCAACAAGCGCCGCGAGCAACGGAATCTGTCGAGGTCACGAGCAAGACGAGATTCACGATCCTTCATTCGTTGTGCTTCATCAATAATTATGTACTTCCAATCCACTTTTGCCAATTTGGATCGATCACGCATAATGAATTCATATGTCGTAACCAACACATTGAACTTCATTGAGCAAACCTCCTGAGTAAAGGGAAAAAAATGCCAAGTTATAAAAAGACTATACCTTAAAAGACTTGAGATATTTCAACAACTATTGCCGCCAGATGCACAGTAGGAAAACTGACCTGGGAAAATATTTTGGCACGTTGGTCTTTATGCCCAACATAATATATACAAGAAACGGATGGTAGCCATCTCGTAAGTTCACTCTGCAGCCAGAGATATGCCAAAATGATATTCACTATCACTTCTTAGAAAATTAAAAAACTAATTTTTAAAAAAGTTTTTTAACCTACAGAAAAATCTACTCTTGCATGCAATCGGAATCATTTCAATTAGGGGAAATTAGTCTGACAAGACAACATAATATCCAATATAGATCATATTCTAACTTCAAAATATGGTAAAGAAATATTACCTTCCAGTTAACCATAACGGCATTGGGTACAATAATTAGATGGGGCCCGTAGTTGCCCTTGTACTCCATAAGATAAGCAATAAGTGCCATTACCTGTACGTCCATACACACATACACTGGTCTTCTTAAGAAGACTACAAGACTTTGCAAACATCTTCGGTTTACTTCCGAATACTCTAATATACAAGTGCAACAGCTAATGCACGCAGTTTATAAGGCCTCCAGTACATGATTAAAATTGAAAGAGCATTCACACCCTTAACTTCCAATCTGACATATACTTTCTTAGGCTCAAACATGTGTACACTCGAGTGAAAAAGTAAAATATATAAAAATGTTGAATAAAAGATGATCCTTGAAAGAATCGCATCCCGAGAATTCCTCATAGCTCCAAATCCGGAGAACGGAAAATAAATAATTGAAATCAAGCAGATATTTAGTTTACAAACGTAACCCTAATGAACATCATATCATGCTTTTTCGAGGAAGTAGAATCTTACCTGCACTGTTTTCCCGAGTCCCATTTCATCCGCAAGGATGCCATTCAGCCTGTTATTGTACAATGATAACATCCACTGTAAACCCACCTGTAGATAAACATAATTTTTCAGAACCAATATTTTCATTAATACTCGCAAGAAGTCCCCGCACATTAGACCTTGAAAGATTGCCTTTCAATACTCCATTCATCAAAGCACAGTACACAAGCTAAGTGAAGCCTAACTTGAGAGGGGAGGCATGTTTTTAAAATATACCAAAACCTACCATTTGATAGTCTCGCAAGACACCAACGGCAAGCATTGATGGCTGTTTATAAATTTTCTCATGCACTGCGTGAGCCAAACTGTAATATCTGTAGAGCAAATCAATAATTTAGTCGCAGAAGCAGATGTAGGGCTTACAAGCATCATATCTGTCCATGTAATTTCAGTACGTAACGAGTCTACAATGTAGTAGTGATTCAACCCACGACAATTGCAAAATGAAACAATAAAGGAAGCAGGTCCGTGGTCATTCACATGCCGCAAGACAGATACCTCGTTGCAAAGATGTAAGAAAAGAGGGACTTACTTATTTACAGAGGAATCGAGGGGATTTCTGTTAACATAACCATTGACTTCAGCTTCTTCACTTGCTCGAATTGCTGCTTGCTGCGCTTCCTCCTCTGAGTAACCCTGCAAATTGATACATCAAATCTCAAAGTTGTTATCTAGATACAGCTGCATAACTTCATCTTTGCTCCTAAGACTAGCAACTTGCTCCAATTAAAATGCAAGTGCATGGTTGGCAGGCTAGCACTAGAGCAACCACGATAAGAAACCGAACCTGTGCTCTGGCAGCAGCTGCAGCTGCTATAGCAGCTTCTTCTCGCTCCTGATGATTCTTAACCGCAGATATCTTTCCCCCCAACTTATGCAGGTACTCTTCAGTCTGTGATAAGAAAGAGGACAGCACCTCAAATCTTTCTCCAGCATCGCCATTAAGCTGACCCTGTTGCTGTTTCAACATCTCTCTGTAGGCATCAACATCATTGTTCTTCAAAGCTTCCATCCTCTTATTGCGATCTTCATCCTTTCGTTTTGAATACTCTCTGAGCATTCGTTCATGATACTTCGCAACACCTCTGTTCCTAGTAACACGAGCGTCCCTGGATGACCACTGTGACTCTAGTAATTTCTTTCGCCACTGCATTAGGGCTTTCAAGTGCTTGTCACGCGTGGTCCTTTGTAGCGTCATCGCTTGTCTAGTAAGATCCATTCGTTGCCTTTCACAAAGACGAACAAATTTCCGGTAAGCCCGCTCCCCCATGGCCATTATCTCTTGTTGCTGCTCCTCCACTTCATCTCTAACACGATGTTGAAGCTCCAACAGCCGTAGTTTCTTTTCCTCGATACGAAGCCTCACAATCTGAAAGGACTGCAATAGCTTCTTTCCATTCCTTGTGGTCAAAAGATCCGAGATTATTTCAAGCTTTTCAACTCTCTTCTTATCAATTGCACGCACCCCTTCCTCCAAAACAAGTTCACGGACTTTGTAACCAAGCGAAACTGGCTGGCCCCAAAGGCTTGCTTGAGGTGTTAATAAAAGTGCAGCTCCATCGACTCTTCTACTGACAGCAGGGAAATCGAAGAGTGGACCGCGATAAGGAGTAATTTTGACTGGTGAAACCTTTTGAGCAACGAGTGGTATCGAGGTAGCAGGAGGGCCCGTCTTACTGCCTGTTGAGTTAGCAGTAGCAAGTGGCCCGGATATTCTGCTAGTATCGACCTTGTTCAACTTAGTTTCCTTAACCTCTGTCTTCACAGAACCCTCTTGTTTTCCTCGTTCAGGATTGACTTGAGAAGATTCATGCTTTACACTCGAAGCACCCTTAGCGTCTCCATTGTCGATAGTCTGCAAATTAGAAACTGGAGGAGTGTCTGCCACTTTGGCAGCCCCTTCTCTGGTATCCGATTCCTTTGAAACCATGGAGGTTTTAATTGCCGACAATTCCTTTGTCTTATACTCATCTTTTGCAGCAGGGTCGTAAGCAACTTTTCCTGGAAGCTCAGGTCCCTTCACAGCGATGGCATGAGAGGCTGGTGGTTGTTCTTTAAGGCGAGCTGCAGCCGACGACTGAGAGGAATGTAGTGATGATCGAATCGGGGGGTTGATTAGACGCTTTATTTCCTCCGCAATTACCACTTCTCCAGGCTACAAAGAAAACCAACGCAATATCTGAGTGTAAAACGTGCAGTGATCTAACAACCTGATAATTGAAAAGCGACAGAATCTATTTTGTCAATCCATTAATTCCCGATTGTAATGATAACAAATCGGACATTCGGTTTGCGTAAATCGCTCATTACTAGAATGTTGATGATACATACCTTCCTTGCTCTAAGTTTTTTGAAAGCCAGTATCTGATTTCGAAGGAGAGTAAGCTGATATTTGCTAAAACCAAAACTCGATGGCTGTTGCGGAGCTGGAGGATGTCTAGAATGTTGACCAATACCAAAACCTTCAGCACTGCCCAACGGCAAGCTTGGTCTAGAAACCTGCGGCTGCGCTGTTGGTTGAACGGGTTGAGTGGACCCACTGCTAGGTCTGTCGGTTGCCTCTGCAGCACCAGACTCTGCATTTGAAGGCTTTAATGAAGGCAATGTACTAATCACAGAACCTATAAAAAAATACAAAATATATAAAAAGATACACAAGCCAGTTAGACCATAAACCGCCAACTGCCAGTCAGTAGTAATTATGGCAAATGAAAGAGAATGCTAGCAAGGATATTGTAAAGAAAACCAACCATGCTAACCTCTAAATCATCAAGTATTAATAGTAGGACCGAACTTGGAGGAAAAAGACATTCACTGAAATTCTCTTATGTAAAGGCTGTACCCGTATTGGGTTGTAAACTTGCACTTGATTGTGTCCTGGCATCTCCACCTTGAGCCGGGTTATGATATAATACAAAACTGGGATTTGTTTCGGGGGCACTTCCAACAGGAATCGAAGTGCTGCCGCTATGCATTCCTTGGTAGAAAATAGACAAAGGAACCGCATTGGGATATCCAACTAATTGGAGGCCACTTGATGTCATTAGAATCGGAGCTCCTCCCCCTGCTCCAACCCGGCTCTGGTCCACACTTGTGGTCAGCTGAGGACCAGACACTGAAGTCGGTCTGATCTGAGACATCACCATCCCACCTTGGCCAGCTGAATTTTGCATAGCTTGTACATGTGCTTGATACTGAGGTAAGAACTGTGGACGACTTTGAGCTTGAGGAGAAAGCGGTGTGTTGGCAGACAAAGCGGAACTACCAGGAATTTGCTGTGAAGGAGGTGCCATACCACTAAACGGAGTGCTTACATTATTCTGAACACGCTGTTGGTGGTTTTGTATATTTTGCACAGGTCCAGAATTTGGTCGTGGCAAGCTTTCATGAGGGTAGGCACGGGTCGTAGCATCTGGTCGTGGTATTTGCTGACTACCGGGCCGTGCTTGATTTCTAGGCTTCTCAGCCGAACTAGTCTGATCCCCAGCAACATTTCCAGGTTGTGTTAGCTGCTGCAATTGCCTTCCAGCCAGCTGCTGATGCGTCAACTCCTGATATAAAAATAAATAAATAAAACATTCCAGTTCTCTGAACTCAAACAAAGCCAGTAAAGTATCTCCTTTGATTGTCAAACACTATCCGCCACAAAGCAGCTTTGCACAGCATAGTTGAACGTGTTACTATAGCTGAAGTTCTTTCCAACAGGGATTACTACAAAACTAAGTAAATCTCAGGTTTACAACGACTTCACTCTGGATCTGGCAACAGCAAAATTTCCACCTTTCCCACTATGAACTAATTCATAATTCTACAGATTTAAGGAAACGTTGTGCATGAGCGTACCTGCAGATTAAGGTTGTTCGCACTGTTAAAATCCCTGGTGGCACCAGTTTGCAAAAGCTTGGAGACCTTCTGCTGGCTGTAAGCATTGACTTGGGCTTTCTGCTGAGCAGAAAGTAGCGCATGCTGCAGGTATGCAGCTTGAGAATGTGCCTGAGCTCCACGATTAGTATCAGAGTTACCCAAGCTAGTGATTTGAGAATCGCCTGTGCTCCGGGGATTCCCATCCTGTTGGGATATAAGCTGAATTGAAGGTGAGAGGGATCCAGGAGGACCTCCTCCAGTGCTGCCACCAATGCTCCCAACACCTTGGCTATTTCCAGCAGCCTGCTGAGCCTGAAGAAAGGCGACTAATGACTTAAACCGAGGGTCATTGGCCTGGCCAGAGTCTCTGAGAAGTTGCAGCTGCAAGCAAATCAATGATAAAATAAGCAATTTGGCGAAACCGTGAGCATGACCCGACAGTAACATACGAAAAAGATATGTTTCTTTCGAACCCAGCCTTCTATTACCGTGCACAGTCAAACTACTTCGCATTAACTTTAAATTGGGAAAATATTCACAAGACCCACCTTCTCAATACAGAAGTTTTGCTACATAACGAGAGATTATCTATCTCGAAAAATACCGCGGCTCAATTTCCAAATCCACACAGATAAACAGTTTAAGTGCCTCCAATGCAAAGAATCAATTCGGAGAAAAAAGCTAAATTAAGTAATTTTGACATATTCTGAAACATGGACAAGAATCAACAGAATGCACTGTAATTGGTATGTAGAGTAATGGCGCAACTTTGATAGTGATAAAAAGCAATCTCGGGAAAAATAATAATATTAAAAAACAAAATAAAATAAAATAAAATAAATGCAACAACACTCCTGCAGCCTTACTGACACGATTAAACCATAGAGATAACGCCACCCCAGAATTCTAACGAGCGTTTCCGCTGAACCCCTTTCAACAATCAAGATGCCCAAAATCCTGAACTAGAGGAGGGTGATGCCTAAATCAAGACAAAATGACCACATCTTTTGCTGTTCCAAGCTCAAAACCCTAATAGTGGCGACAAAGAATAACCCAGAAAATCGAGGGCTTAATATGAATAAAAGAAGAACGACGATCCTGATCAATCAAAGAAACCAGGAAAACATCCTCAGCAAGCTGTCGTCCGTTCATTCTCTAATGGCTTCCACCGAAAAACATCTCACTATATCGTGTATAGTTTGGACGTGATGCGCCCAGGTTTGTTTTCTTCAGTGCTGACTGTAAGGAATAATCGATGGGTATTACATCAAAAACGTTTCGTGACCACGAAAAAAGAATTTGATGTCTGAGACGTAAGTGAGACGGACCGTGCCAACTAAACCTTAAATGCCTCAATATTTAAGCCTCTTTGATTTCGGCAGCGCAAACATGGATATACCAGGGTCAACGGCGTGAGCTCATAACGCTTTTCTAAAAAGTATCTGTATAACCTCAATATAAACCCGAGACAAACCTTTAGGGTAACCTATCGACAATTGCGTTTCGGCAGACAGGGGAGGCACCTTAAGATGAAAAAACCTCAGCGGAAACTGCATTGATCATGACGCACCCTAGCAAGCGAATCGGATACTGAAATTCGATGGTTTCTAAGACAAGCATACGAGACGAACCAATCCATCAAATCGGAAGCTAACACACACCCTTAGGGTTTGAGAAGTAGGAATAAAATAACGACAAAACTCCGACAGCGCTTGGGAAAACTCCCCACCTGTTGAAGCAAAACCGAAGGCGGTGGGAATTGTGACCATGCCGCAGTAGAAGACGACGCCGAAGAAGCAACACCACCACCACTACTACTACTACTATTGCTAACACCTAATTTATGTTGCAGTTGGTTGTTTTGCTGATGCCCTTGCTGTGGCGCCCCCTGTATCTGCGATCCCTGTTGCTGTGATTGAGGGTGCTGCTGCAAACTCGGTTGATTCACAGGCTGCGCTCCTGGAAGCTCAACCTGCGGTTGCTGCTGTGACGATGTTGCTGATGTCCCCCCTCCACCTACTACTCTCGGGACCTGAAGTTGTGTCGGTACGGGTAGCTCGGAGGCAGATGGTGACGGATCTGGAGCTATGGTGGGGGGCCGGCTGCTTGCCGGCACCTCCACCTCTTGTGTCTGCATTCAAAAGGCCGTGTCGCCTTGTGCTCTAAAGACCAGTCAGCCCCCTTTCCTCTATGACAGTTCGCGTGGAGACCGTTTCTTGAAGGAAAGGGCGGGGCGGGGGTGGGAAGGGGGGACGCGAAAGATAGGGGCACCCACCGTAACCCACCCTCGTTCTCTCTTTCTCGGTCAGTCAATCTCTCCACCACCACCACCACCCTACAGCTCCCCTTCCGGTCTCCTCAAGTCGTTTCCTGCGTGTCTTTCTACTGTACTACGGCCTGGTGCCGTTTCTACCCTCACCAGGCTGCCTACACTACCATGCCCCTCGCCTCGTTCCCTGGTGCCTTTCCTTACGCTCACTACCCAACCATGTCATGGCATCCCACCCAAACTAGTGCGGCGTGGACACTCCTCCTTTCCCTCCCTCCTTTCCCTCCCGCCCCCTCTCCCAGGCAGGCTCTATCTCCCGCGCCTGCCGGTGCAGCAGCAATATAGCTGCAGCCCCATCGCGGGTTCCTCGCGAGATGCCGTGTCACGTGCGAGTCCTCCTCTCGTCGTCTCAACCAGTCGATGCCCTGCCTGCCTGCCAACAGGCTCCCTCCGTCCCGCGCTCCCGCGTCTCCCTCCTTCCCCCACTCTGTTATATAAATTCAATTACCCTTCCTCACGTCGCACGCACCTCGCACTGTATTTGATCTCGTTGAGTTGTCCTCACTTCACCGCTTCCCCTTCCCCTCCCTTTCCCTGCCCCAGCCCAGTCCAGTCCTGGTCCGTTGCGTCGCGTTCCACTGTTGGGCTCCGCAGTCATGGGGTCAGAGTGAGCCTCGCGGTCATTCCATAGCCGTATCACCTTTTCCCATGCAACAGCAGAAGGATCAAGAGGAGCATCATCATGCTCATGATCAGCATCAGCATCGACCCCCTTCCGCCGCGCTGCCATGAGGGGGAGTCACGAACTTCTCCCCCTTAATAATCAATACGGCCCGTCCAAGAAGCGGGACGTAGGTGATCCACCACCACCATAGATCGTGGTGCCACCACATCCCCATGCCTGCCTGCACCTCTCTCTGTTCCCCACCCCTCGGGAACATGCCCGGGAACCATCAAAATGTATCAAAGCAGCGTGTTTGATTCTACAATGAAGTAAAGAAGGCTAGTGAAGAACACAAATATAAGGAATTAAAAAAAGAACAACCAAAAAAATGAAATACAACTTGAGTTTGCAAAGAACACTCTCAAAATTAATGGCTTATAGAAGGTTAAAAAAATAATCTATTGAGTTTTTGTGGCTATTTGTTTCTGAAGTAGGGTTCACTAGTATCAATAATATCCTAGATATAGTGATATCTAACATTTACGTACTTGGTCTTGGAATAATATAGATGATTTTTTTTGTTAGATGTATTGTGCTTCTACTATCACAATTTGACTCCTCCAATTTCTACAACTATCAGAATCTAAAACTTTATTATCAACTCCTAGCTGTTTCAAATAATTTTAATATTGTATTGCATCATTAAATTATTGGAATTAAAATTCTATTTCTCCTCAATTAATATAAAATTAATAATTATTAAAAATAAGATATTCATTTAATATTTTTATTTAATATATTTGTATTAATATCTGTATTATATTTGTATTAATATTGATATTTGAATTAGAATTTTAAGTTTTTTGAAATTCACATAGTAATAAAACTTACTCCCAATTTATTATTTCTTCATTATGAAGGCATCAAATTCTTTGTACTATTTTTTTGGCCTATACTTCAATCTATATAATGACTTCTTTAACTTACATACAATTTTTTTTTTTCTAAGTCGCTTAAAAAAATTAGATTTCAACATCTAGCTTCTTCTTTTTGAATTCTTTGTGCAAAAATATCAAGCTAAAAATAATAATAATAAAGTTAAATCAAAGGTTTATATTATTTTAATGTATTAAGTAATATACTCTAACATATGTGTCTTAAAATTTTATGGCATCAAGAATGGTATAATAATATAAACTTGAAACTTGATTGATTAGAATAGTTGCATGTCTTACCTAATATATTACTTGTTTAAGGTGTGTAAGAATAAAATGGGCATAACCAATACCACTTTATTTTTTTAGAATGCATTTCTAAGTAATCTAAATATTATATTTCTTACAAAATTATTTTTTTATGAATTATTTTAAAATAAATTAAATCTATTAATTTTTTACCATTTGGTATTATTAATTGGCCTAGAGTTGTAATTTGGTATACTTGTAGTTTATTTATGAGATATGATAAGAATTTTTTAGATATATTTATGTGAAATCTAGTTATTATAAGCAGTAGTTTTTTTAGTATTTTAGCTTTTAGATGGAAGTTTTATATATTATTGCAAAGATAGATATCAATAATTTTCTTATATAAAAAAGGTATAAGTAATTGGTGATTTAGCACATGGTTGTTATTTGATATATTTTTTATTTTTAGCAAGTATGTAATTAATAAGACCTTAGTATATGTTTTTAAGTCTACTAGAGTATCAATGACAAGAACTCAAAGAATCTAAGTGTCAAAGTGAGATGTTTTTTTAAAAATAAATAAAAATAATAATAATAAATAAATAAACATATATATTCAACAAGAAATTAGAATGGCTATTACCAAAGATTGAAATTAGAAACTCTTCAAACTAGACTAGAAGTATGAAAAGAATTAACAAGAGTAAGGAAGGCATCACTTTAGTCTCTATATATAGGATCTAATTAAAAATTATATAATGACATTCTATAAGACCTCTAATATGTATCAAACTTACAAGACATGTATTTGATTTATAAAGCAATTTTTTTAATATATGTGCCAATTGAGCAACTTATATCACAAGTAACTAATATTTGCCACATGTGGTCAACTTATTAGACAAATTTATGTCTATATAACTTCTAAAAAGTTTTTTCATAAGATATTATTAAATTGACATACTTCCATATATTTCTATTTATTCAAATTATTCAAGTAATTATTGGAATAAATATATATATATATATATATATATATATTTCTTTTTATAGAAAAAAATCTATAAGGAATAATGCTCAAATATCAAGAAAGTCTAAAATGTGACAAATTATATATGCAACATATTGTGATCTTTATTTTTTTAAAGGTAGTTGATAGGTCGTCTTAGCCATCAACAATATCCCATACTAGGGTAGAAAGATCACCTTGATATTTGGTCATTATTAAGGACATTATAACTTCTTTTAAATAAAATATTTGAAAAATCATTGGAAATGATTCTTTTCTCTAATAATATTACAAAACAAAAGAAGTTTCTTTCAAAGTCATGATATAAAAAGAGTTATATCTTTCCATTTATTCAAGAAAGAATATGTTCTTCTTGAAAGTCTCTATTTCTATTACATTATCTTGAAGGTTGTAACAATCACAATGTCTTGTTTAATAACTTAATAAATAATAGTTTTCAAATTGAATCTATTAGTTTTTAATTTTTCATCTTATTAATGCTACAAATACAAAGAAAATATAAAAAAGTAAAAAAAATAGAATGCAATCTTCATTGAACATGTTTTGTTTTATAGTAAAGATTTTTTTGATTCTTCATCTCAATTTAATAAATGTTGTAAATGAAAAACTTTTATCTTCTCTCTTGCATTTGTAAGAATTCTCAATGGCTTTCATGTGCCTTTACTAATATCATATCTACACTAATATACAAGATATTTCAACCTATTTTAGTGCCACCTTAAATTTAAGACCTCTTCTATCTCAAAATTTTCATTGTTATTTAATTCTATGAATAAAGGTAGTATCTATATTTTTTTTAAGATATTATTTTAGACATATATTTATTCTAATAATTACTTAGATAATTTAAATAATTAGAAATATAAAAAAGTATATTAAATTAATAATATCTTATTAAAAGCTTTTTAGAAGCTATATAGATGCAAATTTATCTCAATATGTATCTATAGGTGATTAGTAGGTTGAAAATTTTTCCAACAAGTTGGTCACATATTGCAAATGTTAGCTACTTTTGATATAAGTTGAACATGTGGTACACATATAAAAAACTTGTCTTGCAAATGAGACACATATATTGCAAGTTTGATGTGTGTTAGAAGTCTTATAGAACGTCACCACATAATTTTTAATTAGATAGTATATATAGATGCTAGAAAAATTCCTTCTTATGCTTTTAGTCTAGTTTGAAGAGTTTCTAATTTTGCAATCTTTGGCAATAGCTATTTCAATTTTTTATTAAATTTATATATATTTTTTGTCATCTCTCTTTGAAAAAAATCTCATTTAGTTATTTATATTCTTTAATTACTTGATCTTGACAAATATTTAGGATCTTATATAGCTTAAGAAGAAATATATTGAATACAAGATGGATTTTTATAGATTTTTTAATATAAAATTGATGTGCAACTAGATTGATTTTTTTACAATTAGAAAATTGTCTAAGTCTATGATAATCCAACATATTACAAAAACAACTAATCTTTATATTAAATTAAAGCAACCATACCTCATTGCCAACTTCAAATTAAGATTGTTTCTTACAATGAATATCTATATTGAGTCTCCTTTAATTATGCCTTCATTGTCTCATATAGCTTTCGTAAATGATTTGCCAAATCTTTTGCTTTAGGAAGTAAAAATTATTGAATTATAGATGATAATCATAATTTATATAAAAAATTCATTGTTGAATAGATGAATGTAATATATTATTGTAGGCAAATTCTATTTATAGTAAAAAATTATCCAATCATCATGATGGTGGTTGATGTTGTATCTCAGATATTGCTCATATATATATATGATTAATTTGTTTTGTTTTTCCATTAATTTAAGATTAAAAAGCCAAAGGTAGTTTTATATCTGCCTTTAATATCTTTAAACAGATTCTTTAAAACCTTAATTCAAATTGGGTCCTATTATTGGCTATAATATTCCTTGTCAATCTATAATAGAGATAAATATTAATAAAAAAAATAGTTATTTCTTTATTTATAATAGATTTTTTATATGATAGAAAATATGTCATCTTAATGAAATAATCTACTATCACATATTTAGAATTATAAGAATTTGAAATTAGGAGAATCATGATAAAATTTATAAAAACAAAAGACTATGATTGTTCATATATATGTAGTAGTTGAAAAAGTCTATAAGATTGATGGCAAGGAATTTTTGAGTTTGAAAAAATTTCACATGATTATACAAAGTTTTTAATTATTTTTTACACTTACGGCTATTAATTTTCTTTAAGATTAATTCTAAGATCTTTTCGTATCTAAAATGTTCTTTAATTTTATAGTTTTAATAAACTTGAAAGGCTTGCTATTGTACTTTTTCTTTTAAAATATATAAGTA